GTTTCTCAATGTTAATCATTTTCTTTTGCTGTGCTAATGTGTGCATTGTAAATTTCTCTGTCATATCTTGACTTGCCCTTCCATTTCTGTGATTTCCTGTGCTCTGTAGCACCAGGCGGCAGGGCTAGTCCTGGCAGTCATAAAAAAAAAAAAAAAAGATACTGGATTCCCCCTTCTGGGAAAACTGCCAGATATATAGTACTTCAAAAGCTGAAATATATTCTAAGAACTTTGATCAACAGTCTTAAAACATTAGGCTAATTCTTCCTTCATTTTCAGTGCATGGGAAACCAAAAAGGTCAAATGTGACTTGAAATGCATGCCAATTAAGGTAGATGTGGAATGCCTGTGTACTTGAAAAAAGTCGTAAAGTCCAGCCTTTCACTGTTAACTATGAAATTTTTATAACTGGGCTTGCATTAGGAATACCGAGGCATTGTAGCATGTGTACTCTTAACAGCATTTCAAAAGTCAGTGTGTACAGCTGTATTCTTAGATCACATTTTCCAATTTGATAAAGGATTTTTTTCCACTCCTGAAGATGTCATGCTGCTCATGGATGAGTGATACGTTATGTAGCAGAAGAGCTTTCTTGTTTAATTTTTATTTAATCAGTCAATATGCTTCAAAGAACGTGTTTCGTCAGTAGAAAATAAGGTTGAAGAGTTTCATATAGCGCTACCAAATGGCTTTGTCCTGGTAGTGCCTTCCCTGTCTCAAAGTATCCAACACGTGCTGTTGATGTCCTACTGAATGGTGTTGCCTACTGCCCGTCCGGGGCTACGTTCTGTGATGTGCAAAATCACTTTCCATATGAAGGGTAGATGTATGTAAGAGACTGCTGTCTGAACAGAAAGTGCAATTTGATCAACCTGTAAGGGGGCAAAAAAAATTCTAAGTGTATGATGAAATATTACCTGGGCTTCAAAAGCTCATGGCAGCACCGAGGGTTTGGCGTAGCCCTTTTGGCTCGCATAGTTGACGTTTAAAGCTGTTCCGTTTGGACAGCAGGCTACCTTCCTCGTTGCTGTGCTTCTGCGACCTTCCCTAACGTTTCCTAGAAATATTTTTGTTAAATAGAGTCACACTACTTAATTTCACTGTAATCTTTGTTTTCATAGATGTTTTCTGGTGAGAGGTGATTGCTTTTTCGGAACGCCTTTTGTGGGTCTGCTCTGTGATGGTGTTTGTTGCTTTTAATTTCCGTCATGTTTTCTTTTATTCAAATTTAAATACTGCCTTTTTTTTTCCTGTTGCCTCATGAATGGAAGCTCAATGTGGACAAAATGGGAGGAATGCTTCTTTCTGGTGTGAGGGAGAAGCTCTCTTCTCTCTTAGATCTGTGTATGGCTACCGCTTTCTGCATTTCCGCACTGAGACAGTGTCTCTAAATGCTATACTTCTTGTTAAATAATGTAACTGAGGTCTGGACTTTCTTCTACTTTACCATTTTCTGCTCATTCTCATCTTGCATCTTCATTACTATGTGCCTTCCTCTCTGATCTTGCAAGCCACGTCCATTCTGCCCTTTCTCTTTTTTGTTTTACTGAATTGGATGGGTGATCTCTTAATGTGTATTTGATGGGTGGTTCCCCATGTTTGTCTCTGCCTTCAGGGGCTGACGTGGCTTAAAATTCTTCAGTTCTTCTCTCTTTAAGAGTTACTGGATCTCAGTCCGTTATTTGTTCCAAAAGGATTGCCAGGTTTGAGTTCTTATGAAGCTTTCCAACAAGAATGTTTATTTTCTGCTATTAAAATTTTATTTGGCTGAAATATGTGCAATATTGATAAATGTTATCCTCGTGTGTACAAAATGTATGTTCGTGGAACTAAATGTGAGCAGAAGCAAGTGGCAGTAAGATGCTGTGGGAGAAAGGACAAGCAGATGGTGACAGAAACCACTCTCTGAATTTGTAGTTGCTGCTGAGTCCACAGAACACGACAAAGTGGTGTTCTTGAGTTGGTTTTCGGTAGGATATGTAGCAGAATGAGAACTTTAATTTGCAATTTCTTTCTAGTAAATTAACCAGCAGAATACACGAAATAGGACCTTGGGTCTTTTCTCAGTTTACCCTTTGTGCTTTATCCTCCCATGCGTGGTTTGCCTGTTTGTAATTAGGGAAGTGGTATTTGTAATAATTTAGATTCTCTCTTTTTCCATGGAGCTATGTTTCTGAGATGCTGTTGATATATTACCTGAATAAAATCAGAATTAAAAAACAAATCTTCATTACTTTGCTTCCATTAATGACTAAACTATGCTTTGAGTCAAAGAAACATCTGGGAAGATCAACCAGTGATAAATTATGAACTTAGTAGTGTAAGTTTGAAGAGCTTCTAGGTAAGTTTTTTTAATATGTGTTAAATCGGAGGTCCAAACTGTACTGAAAGGCGATGCCTGAGGAAGCAGCAGTACCTCTCTGCTCCTGCCACCCTAGGTAAGCCTTGCAGCAGAACCATCAACAGACCCAGAGGTGCAGTTCATGTCCAAAGGGGAAGCAAGCAACTGCTAAATACTGGAATAAATGATCGCAGAAAGCCTTAAAGGGCAGAGAGTTGGCAAACATCTCAAGTCGGTGACTGTAAGGCTGTAAGAGTTCACTTTGTGAACTGTTTTTAAGTAAACTTAGCTACTAAAAACCTAAAATATTGTGCATAACTGCATATTACAACAAAATTCCAGCCTCATTACACTTCTGTCTTACATTGTTCCACCTTTCCTTACCTTTCATTCCAAAACTGGAGACCCCCATGTTAGAGATTCAGAGAATGAATCCTTTTATCTGCCACTTGCATTCATTATTCATTGTACGTTGCCAGTGGATTGCTACTTTAGGCCTGAATTAGAGATAATTAATCTTAGGAAAGCACTTATAATTTCACACTTTATGAAGCACTATTGTCTCAGCACAGCAGTGCTGTGGTGGCAAGATACTCCAATGCGTGTTGTTGCTACTCAGTATCATATCTCTTAATATTTACATGCATTCGAGTCTTTATTTTGCTTATTTGTCTGTAGGTTTGTGTTACAGCAGTTGTGCTGGTGTTCTGCTTTGGAAATACTTTTTGGCATTTCTATTTTGTACAGAATTTTAAACAGAAGTAGGTAAAACTGTGGTTTAAAGGGTCAGGTTAGAAAGACCCTTATCCTTTTCAATACTGCAAAAAGGAAAATTTGGGTAAGTGATGGACTTCAGAGCAAGAGGAATCAAGTAGATTCCCAGTTTGAGATGTTACTTTTGATAATGAGTGAAATTGGTAGCTGGTCTGCCTGGCAGTTAAATGTTTTTAAATCTCCTTGTTACACACATTGCTTACTAGAGGCTCTATTTGCCTGTATTTAAGAACTTTACTCAGGAAGTTGATTTCATGTATTGCAACCCTTATTTTGCACATTTGCCTAGAGAACAGTTCCTGCTCTGTGTCTTAGAATAGCTTAGAAACTATTCTAAAAATACAGATCTCTCCTGAAAGTTCTTACAACTGATATTTCTAGAATGCTGAAAGAGTAAACTGCTAATCTGTGCTCAAATGAAGGTACTGGACAAGAGATTCAGTGCAAAGTTACCAGAGATCCCTCAGTTGCACAGCAGACAGAGGGGAATATTTTGAAATAAATGTCAGTGTATGCTTGTCCTTCTCTTCTTCTTTTTTATGCTGTTGATGGCAGTAAAACTGAGAGCTAAAAATAGACTTTTTGAGTCACTTAGTGCTCTTACTAAGTGGAAAAAAAATTGCTAAGGGCTTTTAAGATCTTCTGTTAAGTCCCTTCAGCTGTGTTTGCCTAACTTTTCAGGAATTTCACTGTAGTTGCTAGCTAAGGTAAAGTGCTTACAGCGGTAATATTTTTTTATTATATTCTTCTTGAAAGCAGGCACATCATAAAAATGCATTTACTGTAATTTTTGCTTGTAATTGAGTTATCCACAGCAAAAGCGATTCCTTTATAGAAATGTTAACCTTACAGTCAGTAGAAATTGGAGAAAAATAATTAAACTTTTCAGTGAGAGAGTATTACATGGTGCGGTTTGTGCTGACTAGAGAAGCACACCTTCAGCTTGAATTACCCTGTGATCCTGACCTCCTAAGTGGAATCAAGTGTTAGAATTTGTTGTTAATCTAATTAATGCCCTAGCAGTCTAATCAAAACGCAGCAGTTTTTATTGTTAGCTAATTTTGGTGCTGCTAACACTGTGTAATTACTACTGCTTTCCAATAGCCAATGTATGGAGCAGCGTCAGCGTCCTGATCTCTGCTGGCAGGGGCTCTACCTGGGATTTGGCCGGGTGCTTTCAAGCACTCCGTTGCTGATGCTCTGTGTTGATCCAAAAGCTTTCAGACGTTCCTCGCTCTGGGGTTGTTAGACCCACGTATCTGCTATAATTTCCTTAAGACTGTGCGACTGCCCAGAACGGAGCTGAATCAAAAACCAAGTTGGGCATGAGTCATTTGACTGTAGTGATTTTCACAGAATTGTTGGAAAAGACCTCCGGGATCATCAAGCCCGGCCTATGACTTGACACCAGCACATCGTCCAGACCAGGGTGCTAAGTGCCACATCCAGCCTCTCCTTAATCACCTCCAGGGACGGTGACTGCACCACTTCCCTGGGCAGTGCATCCCAGTGCCTGAGCACCCTCTCTGTGAGGAAGGGTTTCCTGAGATCCAACCCAAACCTTCCCTCACACAGTTTCAGGCCGTGCCCTCTCGTCCTGT